AGTATCAAGTCACTGGAGCATTGCAAGATCAGCATGTGGTTGGATGTTAGGAACCAAACTTGCACTTGCAGAAAGTGGGAGTTAATGGGAATACCTTGCAGGCATGCAATTGCAACTCTGAATGAAATGAGCAAAGACCCTGAGGCTGAGCTTGACATTTACAAGTGGGTACACAAGGTGTATTGGCTAGAGACATGGCAAAAAGCTTATTCATTTAAGGTGGAACCAATTAAAGGGAGACCCATGTGGCCTAAAAGTAATTGTCCAACAAAGCTAAACCCTCCTCCACATCGCACTCAGGTGGGAAGGCCTAAGAAAAAAAGAAGACAAAGTGAGGGTGAAAGGTTAAGCAAAAGGCAAAAGGCAAGTCAAGGTGATGGAGTCAATGAGATGCAAGGAGAACATTCCCAAGGGCCAACAAATGATGGAGTGCAGAAGCTATCAAGGAAACATATCAGTGTTACTTGTAGCAAATGCAAGAATAAGGGACACAACTCTAGGACCTGTAAAGGGCAAGGTGGGAATCAATCCAAGAAGTGATTTTGGTTGTTTGTTGTGGTGCAATGACTATTTACTTGCTTGCTGTTAAAAACTGTTTGTTTTTGAAAACTTTAGTTATGGTTTGATGATGTGGTTATGTATGGTGCACAGACACTTGTATGCTTAACTTGGTAATGGTTTTTGGTTCCACTCATGTGGTTAATGGAATGTGCATTTTGGTCAATTTATGACACGTATTTTGGTAATGTACTTTTGTTACATTTTGGTTCTATTTATGTGCTTATATTTGACAATTGATACACATTTTGAACACATTTTCACACTTGAATATCATTTATATCATTAACAACATTGGAATTCATTACAAACATGATGAAGTCACACTTACAACAAAATTATACCATTTTAACCCTGCATCACTTGACCAACAAAAACCCCCCACATTTGTCTAACCTTATCCCTTACATAGACCAAATACTAAAGATAACAATCACAAACATAAACCAGCTTGCACATAAGTACATCTTCAGCTTGAAACCTTCATCCTTCAATGCATCACATCTTGCCTCCAACATGTTCCTGCTCAAAAGTCCATTGCATTGTTCCTGTAACATGTTGATACTTCTTACCAGCCCATTACATCTTTCCTCCAACGTATTTATGTTTCTTAGAAGACCAGGTATGATGGTTTTACTCCTAGCACACATAGGCGGGTCAACCCACCCGATAAACCCACAAACAGAATCCTTAGTAGGGCAAGCATAAAACCTCCTTCCGGGATTCAGTGGTGTCCAAGACGTTTTCACCAAAGCGAGCTTTCCACAAAAACAAACCACCATTGTTCGATTGCAAGTCAGGAAGGAGAAATGGAAGAAAATAGCCGTTGGGGAAGAACAGTTAAGAACGTTGGGGAAGAAGATTCGTTGGGGAAGAAGCTGGGAAAAGAAAACGATATATAAAGGATGTTTTATTTTTCCATATGCAAAAATGGTCCCTATAAGTAAAAAGACAGAAATACCCTCACGTGCAAGGCACATGAGGGGGTTAACAGATTCTTTTTAACGGATGTTAAGTACAGGCACCATTCTCACAAACAAACCAGTCCAAAAGGACCACAAAACCAAAAAACTCGTGGTTTGGACCAAAACCCCAAAAAAATGCATACCACAAGAACCATTTTTGCAATTAAGTCCTTTTTTTATTAGTTATACTTAAATGAGATTTTAGCATCTCATATCATATTCATAATATTATCAATGTGTAAATTCATCTAGTATTACATTAAGAAAAATAAAAATAAAAGTTTTTAATTAAATTGATTAATTAAAATAATATTATTTTAAATTTCCCCCACAAATATAAAAATCCAACGGCTCTTACTTTCATTTCGACAATTTTTCTCATACTTAAGTAATTTCTACATACCATATTATTTTATTTTATTTTATTTATATATATATTTTTTTCTGATTGCGTCGTTATCGTCCTAAGAATTTTTGACCACCCAATTCTGGTTGAAAGTTTTTTTGCACCGAAGGTCAATATTCAAGCTCTTGTTAAAGTTATCAAACAAAGTCAAAAGAGTTGATTTAAGGGTTTAGGGTTTTTTTTTTTTTTTTTTTTTTTTTTTTTTTTTTTTTTCAATTACTTAAGGACATCGGATCCAAGTCCAACAATATAATACAAAATTTAATATTTTGGGAGAATTTAGAAAATATATATATATATATTTAGAAATGAATATTTATAATTAATAAAAAGTATGTTTGAAAAGATTTTTTTTACAAAAAAAAGTTATAAAAGCTTCTTGAAAGGTTCATATGAAGAACTTTTTAAAAAGTTAGATTATGGTTTCTTGTTAGTACGAATAAATTTTTAAAAGGATAGATTACGGGTATGTTAGTTTATTTTTCGTTTTTTTTAGTTTGTCATGTCAAATCAAAAAATAATTTATAAGCTAACTTTTTAAAAAAATAAATAAAATAACGTTTTAACAAGTTTATTGAGATTTTTTAAACTTTTAAAATATATCATTTATTAATTGTAGACAAACTCAATATTCTACATTCATTTTTTATGTGATTCACATATGTCACCAAGTTTATTATCAAGTTTTGTCAAATAACATTTTTTTTCCAAACTAATCAACAAATATAACATATAACTTTTTAACAACAAATATAACATATTACTTTATAACTTATCAAACACGCTACTTTTTTTAGCTACATTTTTGATTAGTCAACAAACATAACACAAAAACTTAATAAGCGAAAAACCAACCAATCTTAATATCATATAATTTTTATATTTGCTTAATATTTCTTTTTCAAAAACGATAACTTTTTACTTTTTCTTTCAAGGATAAATCACTTAAAATTTCTAAAAAAAAGGTATGATTATAAGAGTTTTTGACAAAAACAGGATTATAAGCAAAAATATTTACCGATCTAGTATAGTTTCAAAAATATTTACCAAATTAGTGTTTTTTTCATTTTTCTTATATTTTTCAAAATTTCTTGCTGCTTTTATTTATTTTAAATATCAGTTTTTTATTGTTTTTTTAATTATTTTTAAGTATCAGTTTTTTATTTTCTTTATTTCAGTTTTTTTTAATATATGTTTAACATAGTATACAAAATACATAATTTCACGTATTATCGTCAATTAAAAATAAGATGATTTAATGAAAACACTATTATAATTAATTATTGTCACCCGTCACAAAAAAGAGTACCATAAAAATGTAGTTTTTTGGTTTCGTGAACATCTTTATAATGATGATACAATTTCTAGATAAATTTGTGTAAAGGTCATTACCTCCTTCATTATGCTTTTACATATTGAAAGTATATGCCAATGTCTTCTAGTTAAATTTATGTGTGCAAATTAAAGATCCACAATATTTTATTCGAAGAAATTCTTTAATACATTATTTTATTTTCAATTTTTCTAGTTTGATATATATATATATATATATAATATTATATATATATATATATATATATATATATATATATATATATTAAGTGTTAATGTGTTACTAAAGGGCTTTTAGCCCAGCTGTATCCGATGTTGTCCTTTATCCTTAAGGTCGAGGGTTAAAGTTCCGCTGTGGACATATGTGAAATAATTTAGGAGTAGTTTAGTATATTTGCCGTTTAAAAAAAAGTGTTAATGTGTTGTTACATTCTTTTATAAATTTCGATTATTTGACGGTTCATAGAAATATGAATAACTTTATGGGCAAATTTTCTTATAATACCACAAAAAAATGAGCAATAGCAACGACTGCTGATAGTGCACAATGTTGCCGTATTTTTTAAAAGATCATTTTATAATACTTTAAAAAATGAGTAATTACGGTCACTAACATAATTTATTAAAATGTTATCTTATCATTTTTAGTATACATTGAATATAGATGTTCTGACATCAATTAAAAAATGAAATATTATACAATTATTAGAAAATATTTCTAGAGGAACAAGAAAACTTTACTTTTTATGGTGTTTATTTTTGCGATAGGGCTAGTAATCAATTATAATATTCATTAACACATTTTATTTTTAATTCACGATAACATGAAACTATATATTATTTTTGTTTTTTATATTATGTTAAACATATTTTAAAAAAAGGAAAAAAAACTGAAATAAAAAAAAATAAAAAACTGATATTTAAAAAAAATAAAAAAAACAATAAAAAGTTGGACAAACAAACTGATATATAAAATCAAATAAAAACAGTAAAAAAACTAAAATACAAGAAAAATAAAAAAACATTTTTTTAAATATATTTTTAAACTATACTAGATTGGTCAAAAACTCGTGATTACAACTTAATTGTGACGGTGCGATAGAGACCATATGAAACGTTTTACTTTTGCAACGGCAAGGTCGAAAAGCGAATTAATTTTTTTTATTAAAATACAACAGAGTAAATAACTAGCATGCATCATTTTCGTCAACAAACACCCATAAAAGTTATATTATCTGTTGACCACAAAAAAATGTTAAAATCCAGTTGAAATTTTTACCTTGCCCCTACGCAAACAAAAATATAAATCTAGAGCTAGACACATTCATCATGACATTGTCATTTTCAATTTTGCCACATTTATAGTCTTTTCAACTATTGATGCCATTAAATGGGTAACAAGAGACATCAACACTTTGGATCAACTTGGATAATAAAAAAAAAAAAAATTTAGAAACATAATTTCATTTTGAGTGGAATAAATTTTAAATATCAAGGAACTTTTTGTCTATCTTTTATATATACGTTTATACATTTATTTTTGTGAAGCACCAAAACCAAACTACATTCATAAAACATTAAAATATATTAGAGAGAAGTAAACAAAAGCTGTTATGGTTGTTTGATATAATGTAGATGTATTAGATCTAGTTTGTTAGATCGTATCATATCTTCAATATATTTTCTCTCAACTCAAACATTTCATTCATTTCCATTTGTTCACTGCTCAATTCTCTTTAATGGCGGATGCAATCGGTCCACGGCTGTATGGATGCTACAACTGCCGGAATCATGTCGCGTTTCACGATGATATTGTCTCTAAAAACTATGTGGTAATTAAACATTAATATACATTATCATACAGTATATCTTATCTTAATTCTTTCTTCAAAGTACAATGTGTTTACTATGTGTTTACATGTTTATAGGGTAGACAACGTCGTAGAGCTTTCTTGTTTTCCCAAGTGATGAATGTGGTAGTAGGTCCTAAACTGGATCGTCTACTCATCACGGGTTTATACAACGTGGCAGATGTTTCATGCTCTGATTGTGGGGAGATTTTAGGATGGAGATATGAGAAAGCGTACATTGAAGCACAAAAATTCAAAGAATCCAAAACTGTGCTTGAAAAATTTAAGATTGTGAAGGAGGATTGGTAGAAATCTTTCTTTATGTTCATGAGTTGTTTTTTTATCTTGAAATCGAACAATAACTATTTAGTCTTATGCCGATAATTTAAGTTGTAACTTTGTTTATCTTCATGTGTTATTACGCTTTCAATCATTTATCTCCACAAATTATTTATTTATCTTTGTAATGGTGTAGATATATAAACCCTAAACGATCATCTTTGCACTAGTTTGTGAGATGCCTATGTATTAACATGTATAGATGTCCACTCAGGAGATTTTGGTATAAATAGTGTGTTAAGGACCATAGGTAAACATGCATTGTTTGATTTGTAGTAATGAAAAACTCAACATTTGGTTGTTTACATGCATGTTAGCATTTGAACGGATCAAACATGTTTCATTATATTTATTTTGTAGATAATAATAGATTATTTCGGTATGTACAGAAAAGAAAATAATATTTTAAACGAGTTCATTTTATTAATCTATTTCTAAATTAAATAAAAAATATGTTTAAATGTCAAGACCACTTAAATGAACAAACAACCTTTATTAACGATGTTATTACTTTTACAACTAAAACTCGCTACAATATACATTCAAAAACAACACATTCAAACACTCGTAATATTCAAGCTAGACCAAAACAACTCACAAGCAAAAAGAACAACCACATACGATTTAAGAGTTAGAAAATGAAACCCTAACTAAGAACAAAAGTCTAATGGAGAGAACCCTCTTTTGTTAGTTAGTGTTTTGTCTCTATGTTCTGTTGTATATATAGGAGATAAGGTCAAACGCAACACATTGTCAGGCGGTTGATCTGCAATCCCACTTTATATACTTTTGTCTCCTCCTGTGATTGGATCATAGTTAGTATAAATAGGAGCATCACCCCTTGTAATCGAATCACTCTTTTGAAACATCAATCAAGAATCACTTAGTCAATCATATTGTTCTCTTTGTTCCTTCTCCTGTTCATGTTCTTTAACTTTATTAAACTTACTTGAATACTTTGTTCTTTTTATCTCTTCATGGCTTGACTGGTATTATCCAGACTTGATTGGAAAAGATTATTTACCTCTATTGTTGTGTTTATCTCAAGGTTTAAGTTATTAAACCTTGTCTACTGGGTTTTATAGGTTATAAATCTATGCATGAGGCGGAAAATTACTTAACTCTTAAGTTCACACACAACCTATTTGGATCTATGTTTTCTCTATTGATATCAATAAACTATGAACATCAAGAACCCTAATGGAACTCTATAATAATCGAAATTTACATAGAGTTAGGGTTTACATACCTATTATAGCAAATAATCACACCAATATCCTTCTTGAAAACCTTGGAAAGCAAGCACCAAAAGTTTTAGTGTCTCTAATGGTTTGTACCCAAAACCCTAGAAACCCTAGAATGATGAGGTGAGAGAGGTAGGAGAAGTAAATTTCAATCCTAAGCGTTATGATAAAGGTATAAACGAAAATAATGAGCCAGTAGGTCCTATTTATAGTTTAGATAATTTGCAGACCAAACAAGATTTGAATTGATTAAATAATAGATTTAATCACAATTCAAATCATTTCCTTATCTGCATCCAGAAGGCTTCCAGAAACCCTAAGAACCCCTCCAAAACCGTCCATGCTATGGAGGGTTCTAGAATTGGTTCTTTTGTTCAACTATTGAACAATAACAATTCATCCCTTGCACCTTTAACTAATTTCAATTAATCCCGAATTAATTTCAGATTAATAATTAATTATTTCTAATTGATTTCTTATTAATTTATTAACCATGTAAATTAACAAATCAATTATTTAATTGTTGATCTCATGTCAATTTATAATTGACATAAGAAATTAACATATCAATTATCTATTCCCAATTAATATATTAATCACATAATATATTAACAAATCGTTTCTCTATTTCTCATAATATCATTTCTAGCTATTTATGGTTATAAGGGCAACCCAAAAATGACTTTTCTTGTATTTGCAAGTTTATACCAATTTAGTTATGAGATTACACACCTTAATCCAACAGTCCCCTACACGGATAAGTCTATAACTACAATTGCAAGTATAACCAAACAACAAAGAGTGCTTCCCAAAGCCACTGTTGAACTCTAATCCAATCAGACATTGTCCTTAAGATAAGTGATCAAATATTCCTTCGTTCTACAAGATATCGTATGGACATGAGACATGGATCAGAATCAATCTCATAGTCCAATATTTCGTTTCTCGATTTCCTGATTTATAACAACTGAATTCAGACTACTCATTGAACACATCAATTCAGTCCGGGCTCGGCTAAGCACTTCAGATGTTGACAACAAATCATCGAAGGGCCCAAAGATATCATTTTTCCCGTTAAGGAAAAAGAACGAATAAAATTTGACTTATATGTTTGTATCTTTTACTCACCAAATTATGTATGACACTACGTTTTATAACATCACGTTACTGATGTGTTTTGGCAATACCAATGCACAACCAACTTCTAAATTACAACTCATATATCTCTGTTTGAAGAATAAAAGATATTATCGTCTCACAATTACTCGTGATAAAATCCATGAAGTAATTCTCTGAGCGTGGGTTTATCCAATACTCAAAATCCCCATTTTTCTAAGTACTCATGAACATTATAGAAATCTTATTGCAATATCTAATCCCCATAGACAATCTACAATTCAATTCATGACAGTCTTAATTCACTACTTACTTCCAAAAGTATGAGCACCCGTGGGATTTCGAATAATCAAATCATTCAGGAAGTAAAACATGCAAAGTGAAACACAATAATAAACTAATTAACTATTGTATCAAACCTATTGAATATAAATAAATCTCTATTATTTAATCACCATAATAATTACGACCGTATTCATTGTATAATGTTTCGAGTAATCAACTAACTACTTGAATTAAACATTAGTCATGCCATGTTATGAACATGCATACAATGCCTCTTTAAGGTCCTTCATTTGTGAACAAATCAACTGGACATTATTCCAATGATGCTCATTTCACAATTCCAAATTCTTATCACTATCCAAGATGTGATGGAATTATAACTTAACATGTATTAATCTCCTGTGATATCAAGATTCCAAAGTCTCAAATACTGACTCTTCGATATTACAGAATATCCCATTGGAGCTTTGTTACTAGAAACATTTATGTGGTAATGAAGGTTCAAATTCAAGGTACACTTCTTGAACACTTCTCTTGCATTAAAGTTCCCAACTCACATGTAGAGTTTTCAACCATCTCACATTATGAAACATTTCCATATTCCCATATGACCATCAGTTATGATCAAGAATCATCTCAATCCAGAATCATGTCACTATGGTCCGTCCAAATTAATATCATACTTATAATTGTCCACAAGCAATCAGTCTTTTGGTATAACCTTAGAATATACTTGATAGTTGTTTAACAACTTTACTCAAATAAAATTCTAGTCCTTCTTCTCATAATGCTTTGAGCATTTGAAAAATAAGAATAGGTGAATATTATAGCATATGTAATCGATGCTATATCTGAATTATATGAGACTCGACTCATTATATCTTATATAAGGATCTGATATCTGTTCAATCTCTTGCTATAATTTTTCCATGTATTGAGTTTCCTATGTTGAACCATTTCAACATGATATTCATATACGTCTATGACTAAGTTCTATTAAACCATACGATCTAAACCTTTAGAATCGAAACAAAGTATGAGTGCCCTCTCCCTTAAGTCTACTATAACAAAACAATTCCCAAACTTTGCAATTTGAAAATTGAAAACTTTGTTCCCTATGAACAGTATTGTCAACATGAAATACTAGCATAACAATTATGTTCCCACTAGCTTTGAGATGTACCCAGAAATCGAATGAACTTCTAGAAATCAATACTCTTGAATTTCTTACTAAAGTACAGATTTCTGTTACGCGATGCTTCGATAAGTTTCCAACTAGGCTTCTTTAGCTTATACACATTCATTAGATAGCATATGTGTGTGTTTAACCCCTTTCAGAACTTATAGATACATGTCTTGAAAGTTCAAACAATTCCTTGCCATTCCTCACAATTCAAAATATGAAGAGGGATGTCGTAATCATATTACGAATTTGAGAATGCAGATAACACAACTAATATCCATATTAATCAGATCTTTTAAAATCTATCAACGAAATTATTTCCTCATAATCATTCTCATGAATTAGAGTGAAAACTTTTCCACCTAGATTTTATGGTGCATACTTTCCCATCCATGTGAATTTATCATTTCGAGCCTACAATCAAATTTAGCTTTCCTTCATGGACTGAACTTCGCTATTCTAAATTTATTTCCCTCTGGTAGCTTAAGGGGCCTTACAGTGCTTCCATGTTGTTAGCAAGTCACCTATATTGATCAATGCACTTTCATTGACCAACACACTTTGCTTTTGTAGTTAAATAAAAACATAGAACTCATAAGCATTGCCAACTTAACTAGAAGTGCACAAAAAGAAGAATGTGTCAACCAAACATGATAGGTTATCAACCTCAGGTCGCGTGCTAGTGATTACTAAAAGGTTTATTGTCGGTTGACTCTTGAAACTCTCAAGATCAATACGACTCCAACATACTTCTTGACATATGAGTTTTCTCTCAAAGAACATTCCTTTGGCGAGCTAAAGAAAATATTCAAAACTTCGTGTGGATTCCTGACAAGAAAACACTTCATAGAATTGTTCTTAGTTTATATGTTGTTTCTTGATCAACGAAAAACATCAAAACTCCAATTCTAAATGTGCTAGAGTAAGAAAACATTATTACTCCACATGTTACGAGGTGTTATCAACCTTCTTAGTATGAAATAAGTTTCAAGATACGATTTGTAGTTACTAGAGTATGAATCTAAAACTTGATTGCAACAAAGTATGACTCATCTATAATCGAACCATTTCTAACAATATTCGATTCCTCTTCTTAGTCATACAATTGCACTAAGATGTTCTTGGAGGAGTAAATTGTGATA